CCACTTTACTAATCAAGTGTATTGTTTTATAGAGAAAAGCCATTAACTTTTGGGTATTGATTTTGTAACTTGCCACTTTACTAATCAAGTGTATTGTTTTTAGGAGCTTTTTTATAGATTCTTGGGGATTTTATAAGTATAGTATCCTGTCATCTGCAAATAGTGAAAGTTTAAATTTTTCCTTTGCTATCTGAATGCCCTTGATAACTTTTTCTTTCCTAACTTCTGTGGCAAGTACTTTTTAAAATAGGAGTGGCCAGAGTGGGCAACTTTTTCTTGTGCCTGATCTTAGAGGGAAAAGTTAGTTTTCCCCATTAAAAATAATGCTTGCTGAGGTCTTCTGGTTAATGCATCATTGAGAAAATTTTCTTCTACTACCATTTTTGGGTGTTTTTATCATGAATGGGTGCTGGATCTTGTCAAATGGTTTTTCAGCATCTATTGATATGATCATATGGTTTTTATTTTTTCTTTGATTAGTATGGTGTATTAGTTGATTGATTTGCAAATTGTAAACCATCCTTGCGTCTGTGAGATTATCCCTACTTGGTCTTGGTGTATGATCTTTTTGATGAGTTGTTGGATTCTGTTTACTAGTATTTTGTTGAGGATCTTTGCATCTGTCTTCATCAGGACAGTTTTCTCTAATTTTCTTTTTTTGTGATGTCTGTCTGCTTTGGGTATCAGGGTGATAATTCACTTTATAGAAACTTTTTGGGGGTGTCCCTGTTTCTTCAATTTCCTGGAACTACTTGAAAATATTGTCACTAGGTTCTCTTTAAAGGTTTGAAAGAATTCACTAGTGAATCCATCAGGCACCAGTTTTTTGTTGGGGAAAGAATTTTGATTTCAATTTCTTCAATACTGATAGGTCTTTTCAGGTATTCAAATCTTTTTTTCAGCCTGGGGTGGTTATAGGAATTCAGGAATTTATCAATTTCTTTAAGGTTCTTTTGTTTTGTGGCATAAAGTTTTTCAAGTAATCTCTGATGAACCTATTGATTTATGTAGTTTCCTTTGTGATGTCCCCCTTTTCCTCGAAGTTTATTTTTGATATCCAGATTTGTATCTTTCAAATCAGACCCACTAGAATATAACCATTCAATTAATCACAACTCTTCCTAAATTACCTTACAGTTTTCCTCAAGAAAGGGAATGAATGTTGCTGGATTAAGTCTCTGACAAGTTCTAAAAGTTGCACCTGAAGAGTCTAACAGTAGGGCTTAGTATGTAGTGTCCCTCCTGTTAGCCATTGATGATTTTTTTGTTCCCAGCATGCTCTGAACTCAATTAAGAGTCTGGACTTCTAGTAGCTTTCCTAGAGTAGGTTTTGTGTGCTCCTTTGCAATATGAGCAGTTGTGGCCTCTGATTGGAGATATCTGTTCCAAGCCTATGCCACACTCAAACTGTTTCAGGTATAAGAAGTTTGTTCCAGTTTTTGAGTTAACAGAAACTCCAAGCTCTCCATCTACTTATAAGGTAAAATGTTTATCTAGATAATCACTTGTATCAGTTATATTATTTGTCATGCCGTTGCTAATCGATTTGCTCAAGCGGGTGGCAATAATGACTCCATTCATCCCTGTTCTGTGCTAGTATATCCCAATGGCATCTGCTCGCTCCTTGAATATGGAGGGCATCAAACCATTCATTCAGGGTTCTTGACAAAGAAGTCCGATCTTCTCATAGGTGGGCGGCCAGGCATTCTTTTAATGTCCCATGGAATCCAGTTGTTAATGCCTCTAGTCACGGTCATCTCCAAATCACATTATGTGTCCAGCCCATCTGATTTTCAAAGCCTTGGCAAAGGAGGGAGCATCCCTGATCCTTGATCATCGACAGAGGTCAGAATTCTGGATTCCTTCTCTCACTTGAGTGAAGCATGATACTCCAAGCATAGCTCTTTCGATTACTCTTTGGGAGACCCGAATAGCATTCTCATCCTTTTTCAATAAGGCCCAGGTCTCTGAGGTGTATTTTAGCGCAGGAAGAATGGTGGAGTTGAAAATATGTACCCAGCACCAGAGTTTCTTCATCCTCTTAACAACTTTTTCAATGCTCTTGAAGGCGTTCCATGCTGCTCTCTTCCTCCTGCACAGTTCTGGCACCAAGTCATTCATTGTGTTGAGTTCTCGACCCAGGTACACATAACTGCTGCATTCGGAGATGTTCATTCCATTGAGAGCAAATAGAACATCAGGAACAAGACTGTTTCTTATCAACATTGTTTTTGTGAGATTCAGCTGTAATCAGACCTTTCCACACTCAGAGTCAAAATCAGTCAACATTCATGCTGCTTGGCTAATGTTTGTTGTTATTAGAACAATGTCATCAGCAAAGCGGAGGTGGTGTAGTTGCCGACCATCTATCTTCACTCCCATTCCTTCCCATTCTAGTCATTGTATGACGTTCTTGAGGGTGGCACTGAAGATTTTCAGTGAAATGGTATCACCCTGCCGAACCCCTCTCTTTATGTCAATGATCACTTTCTTGTAGAATGGTGAGATACTGGTGGTGAATCCGTAATACAGCTCACAGAGGATCCTGATGTACTGAGTTTGAATGCCCTTGTTTGGCTAGGGTTTGATGACCGCTTCAGTCTCAACAGAATTAAAGACCTTCTTTAAATCGATGAACGTTAGTTAGACTGAGCCGCATCTTGAACTCTCGTGAAACCTCAATGAGCTTGGTCACCATGTGGATATGGTCGATCGTGCTGAATCCTTTCAGAACCTGACTTGCTCACTGGGTTATCCTCATCTAGTCTTCTGCCGATACTATTCATGATAACTTGAGTGAACAACTTGTAGACGACAGAGAACAGGCAGGTCAGACAATAGTTGCCAATGTCGTGGATATCTCCCTTCTTGTACAATAGGATGGTATTGCTGATTTTCCATTGGGATGGAAACTTGCATTCAGACAGGTAGCGTGTGAAGATCCAAGCCAGTGTATTGACAGATATCGGTGGTAGATTCTTCAGATGTTCGGATCTGACCTTGTCTGGACCAGGTGCTGTACACTTCTTTATGCTTCTTTAATTATTTAAAGAAATCTAGATAATGTATTGCAGAAACTGGAGCTGAAACTAAAATAATCTTTAAGAGTTTGAAATGCCAATTAGAGTTTTTATTACAGTCTAAGAGCTCAAAATAAGCACTCTTTAGTATCTTATAAAGAGGTTTTACAATAAAAGTCATAGTTAGAGATCCAGAATCTACAGAAACCTGTCATCTCCTTAAAGTTCCTCAGTTGCATTCTGGTTTGAGTTTCCATGAGTCCAAGAAGATCTTCTTTTTGGACAGAGATGGACCCTGAGGATTATCTCACTTGCATTTTGATACTGGCCTTTTATGTAATGGTAAACCTCTATTGTCTCCCCTTTTTTCTATTTTCTTATATATTTTTGTTTTTTGGTTACCAGAATGGTAGCAACAGATGTGTTGCATCTCTGTGGTGTCTTGCAGCCACACTGTCAGTCACACACTCTTTGTCCTTCCTTGACTCCCAACTGTGGGATTTGTCTAGGCTACTTACCAGTCTCTTTAGCATTCCGCTGTTTCCCATTCTTTACAACCGCCTGACCACCCAATCTCCATTCCCAGTGGCTTATCTAGAACTAGTTCTGTTTTCATAAAATCTCTTATGAGGATCAATACCTTTCTGCTCCCATAATATAGATCTTGTTTTGGGGAGACTGATTGTGGCTCATTCATTTGGCATCTTGACCCTCTCTCAACAGGTAAGATCTATAATTAGATGAAGAACAGTACAAAAATACTTAAATAATTATCACAGTATCATATAATTTTAATATTTTACATTTACATATTTTTCTAGATTAAAATTGCATACCTGCATATATCTCTTTCCATATGGTATTTGTCAGACCACAAGCATTGTTCCCAAATCTTATTTAATATTATTTTATACACTTATTTTTATTTGGCCCTAATCCTTGTAATTAATACATAATATATATATAAGCTAAAAGTCTTGCAATATTTGTGGTTAGATGTTAATAGTTTTTTTTTTTTGATGTTAGGAAGCATGATTTTTGTCAATTTTTTTCTAATTATTTCCTTTGGTTTGATTCATTTGATTCTGTTACCTAAAATGAACCAACTAGATTAATGGCTATAAATCTCAAAAGTATTATCATGCACCTCAACAGTATTGTTTTGAAATTCCTGATGGCTACCTTGACAAAATGAGCTCAGTTCATTGTGCCACCAGCAATGTGTTTCACAGTCTCATCTATTTCAGCATACTTCTGCAAGAAAAGTTTTTTTAAATTATGTGTATTTATTTTGTACTAACTGACCTAGAAGGTAGAGGTATAGACATTGGAAAGTAACCTAGGAGACAGCTACTGTGGCAAAGGTATAAATTAATAGACTTTTGTTGATGATGAAGTTAAAAATTAAAATTCATTGGAGCGATAGCACAGCGGTAGGGCATTCGCCTTACAAGCGGCCAACATGGCCGACCCAAGTTCGATTCCTCCGCCCCTCTCGGAGAGCCCGGCAAGCTACCGAGAGTATTCGATATGCCAAACACAGTAACAACAAAGTCTCCAATGGAGACGTTACTGGGCCCGCTCGAGCAAATCGACGATCAACGGGAGGGCCTTTACCTTACCTTTACCTATCATACATTGAATCCCTAGAATCTGGCAGAAATTACTGGAACAGATTGGTGCCTAATTAAATTCTCTTAATATTTTTGTTAGGTAACATTCTTATCTTGAGTGTATACACAAGGAAATAGACTTAGCAAATTAATTCCCCTTACCCGAATTCTCACAAATATGAAATTACAAAGCTGGGTTTCTACCATAGATTCCCTAAATGAGTTACAAAAGTAAAAAAAAATCTGTGGTCTTATTGGCCAGGAAAGAAGTGGAACCCAAGGATCAGGCTAAAATAACTTTGTATTGAATTATTAATATTGTTTTATTTAGGTATACATTCAAGCTCTTGATGTTGTTCACTTCCAGGTGACTCTGACAGTTTCAGTAAAGTGCAGCCAGGAGAAAAGCCTACCATCATACGTCCCCCAGTGAGACCTCCAGATCCTCCCTGCCGAGCCACAACCACCCACAAACCAGAGTCAAAGCCAGATATTATAACTGGAAATGCAGGAGACATACCATCATCTGTGTAAGTCGGGTTGTTCCTCAACCATTACCAAAGGTACCTTAGAAGTCATCATGAGGATTTTTACTTATTTTTATTCTGGCTGCAAAAGAGGTACACAAACCATGAGGCATTATTCACATCATATACAAAAGAAATGTCACAGATCAGTGCTGTTCAATACCCAACACTCAAGTCTGGGATGTTTTCTTAAAGCTAAAGATTGAAACTACCTAATAAAAGTCCCATTTTTTCATAGATTCACTGGTCTCAGTACGATGATAATATCCACTTCTGTTTTAACGCACTATTGACTTGAGATTTTTTCCTTATTTTCTTTTTATTTCTACTAGTTTTAAAGAACTAGATATTTATTAAATTAACACTGATTAATAAATTATAAGTTATATATGTTCATATGTATTGCATCAAAATTCTGTATATAATAAATGTTACATTGTAATTACCAACAAAAATTTAGTTTTCACTGGTCACCATATACTTGCTTTAAACATAATTTGCCTGTGCTGTCCTCCTGTTGTTGATCAATTTGCTCGAGCGAGCACCAGTAACATCTCCATTGTGAGACTTGTTACCGTTTTTGGCATATGCCTCAGGGAGCTTGCAGGTTCTGCCGTGCAGATGGGATACTCTCAGTAGCTTGCCAGGCTCTTGGAGAGAGAATGGAGGAATGGAACCTAGGTCGGCCGTGTGCAAGGCAAACACCCTACCCGCTGTGCTATCACTCCAGCCCAAACCTTATGCTTGTACTTTATACCTTTTTTCATAAGCAAATATATGATTTTTCGACCTTCTATAATGACAAATTGTCATCAAGAGAACTGCTTATAGGATAGGAACTGAATTGATGTTTAACAAGTCTTCCTAAAACCGGTGTTCAAGATAAGGAATGAGGGAGGGAATTTTAATGTAGGGTCATTGCCCCTTTTAAGCTTTGCTTGGCTCCAACTATCGTGCATGGATTCTCAGTAAATGCCTGGGCTCCCTTTCAGAAGATTTTTTCTTGGTACTTGTTTTCTTGTGTTTATTTCCATAATTTTTAAATAGGGGAATTAATAAAAACAACACCTAAACAGATTTAGTAGTTAACTAGCATGTTTATAAAATGTTAAAATTGTAATGTGAATCCAAGAAATTGTTTAAGTTATGTCAAAAAATATTTTGAATGGACAACATAATTATATTCTTCAGTCCCTAGAGATACCTCTGGAGTCACATTTTGTATTTGGATTTTTTAATTTTTTCTCAGACTTATGTCCTTTGCAAGCTTAGGCGGGGCCTAGCAATGGTGGCACATAATTTAAAATGTTAAATGGTTAAATGGTTAAAACTCTCCTGTTCTTTTCATTTGCAAGTGATTCTTACACATATTTCAGAGTAGTTCACACAACTTGGTTGACTTCTGTTTGCAGGGTGGCTTCTAGGACCAAATTCTTTGAAACAGCTTCCCGGAAAACAGGAAGGTAAGAGACACAGATGATAGAATAGAAAGCAAATCACTTTTAAATAAATATATCCTAAGTGTCTAATTTGCAGTCTTGCAATCTCTTTAACTGTTTCCCTGTTACTCTGTTCTTGTCTATTTACTATTTTTAACCCAACTATTTCTACTATATTCTCTATATCTGATTTTGTCATTCTCTATTTGTCTTTTTCACACTTATTCTTTCTCTGTGTGTCATTTTTATTTCTTTGTGCATGCCTCTGTGTTTGTCTTTGCTTCATTTCTTGTTCTGTGTTTTATTTTACTTCTCCCTCTCTCCCCCTACACACATATAAATAAATAAAAACTAAGTACTTATATGCCAAGAAGTTTTGAAAAATCTAAATCCTAGATGTATGTGATACTTTTCATTTGTTTACTTATTCACTTTTTCAGACACTATTATGTACTGGAAGAAAATATTTCAGCATAACTAGCTTAAGATAAACATAGCTCTTTCCAGAGGTAATCATTACATTTGATGCATATATAAATCACTTGAGAGAGTTTGACGGGGAAATAAGCTGCCCCAAAGATCTCTTATTCTTAATACCTACTAAATCATAATCTCCCGGACTAAGATCCAGATACTAGATTTATTCTACCAGAGGAGAGGAGGGTCTCCCAAATGATGTTATAGATGCCCAGAGGCCCACACTCATGATAGGAAAAAAGTCCAATGCAAGTGCCATTGGATGGAGTACTGCTCAGGCTCTGTCGTGCCCAGGGTTACATACTGCTGTGGATATTCTAGGGCATTGGGGGCCACACCCAGGCAATGATTATGGAAACATGTAGTGATTGGGATCTAACCAGGTTTCACTACATGCAAGTTATGTGCCTTAACCTTTAGGCGAAGAGTTTCATTTGCTTTTGATTTTATTTAATTTCCTTCCATCTCTCCGTCCCCTCCTCTCTCCCTCCCTAAATTCTTCCCTCTCTCCCTCTCTTCCTCCATTCTTCCCTCCCTTCCTTCCTTTTTTCCCTCTTTACACCCATCCTTTCTTCCTTCTTTCCTTCCTTCTTTCATTCATTTCATCCTTCCTTCCCTCCCTCCCTCCCTCCCTCCCTTCCTTCCTTCCTTCCTTCCTTCCCTCCTTCCTTCCCCTTTCCCCTTCTTCCTCCTTTCCTTCACTCCCTCCTTCCTTTTTCCCTTTCATCCATGCTTTCTTCCTCTGTTTTATTTAAATCTCAGGTATGCTACTGCAATCTTTCAAGGTCTTACATTGGAAACTTTGAACCAGAGTACTTGTTTAAAAATGGTTACTTGGCCTTATGGGACTCCTCTGTGTGTTTGTTCCATGTTGTTAATTGGTGAGTTTTAAAATATGCTTTCTACCAGATTGCGGGAATGTAATTCTACTAGCTTGAGAGTTAAAATCGGAATGAGAATCGTCCATACATGAGTATGGCCGATTCTCAAAAAATTAGAAATTGAGCTCCCATTTGACCATTTGACCCAGCAATACCACTCCTGGGAATATACCCCGGAGAGGCAAAAAAGTATAGTTGAAGTGACATCTGCACTTGTTTGTTCATTGCAGCACTCTTTACAATAGCCAGAATCTGGAAAAAAACTGAGTGCCTGAGAACAGATGACTGGTTAAAGAAACTTTGGTACATCTACACAATGGAGTACTATGTAGCTGTTAGAATAAAATGAAGTCATGAAATTTACATACAAGTGGTACTACATGGAAAATATCATGCTAAGCGAAATGAGCCAGAAAGAGAGGGACAGACATAGAAAGATTGCATTCATCTGGGGAACATAAAGTAACAAAATAAGATACTAACACTCAAGAATAGCTGTGATAAATACCAGGAGGTTCATTCCATGGCTTGGAGGCCAGCCGCACACTCTAGGGCTAAAGGGAGCTCAGATAGAGAAGGGAACACCAAATAAAGGCTGCTAGGAAGATCTGCCCACGATGGGAGATGTATGCTGAAAGTAGACTATAGACCGAACATGATTGCCACCCAATGCCTCTTTTGCAAACCACAGCACCCAAAAGGAGAGAGAGAACAAAAGGGAGTGCCCTGCCACAGAGGCAGGGTGGGATGGGGAAATGGGGGGTGGAAGGGATACCGGGATTAGTGGGGGTGGAGAATGGGCACTTGTGGTGGGATGGGTACTTGATCATTGTATAACTGAAAGCCAAGAACAAAAATTTGTAAGTCTACAACTGTACCTCATGGTGTTTCACTAATAAAAAAATAAAAAATAAAATAAATAAAATAAAAGCAGAATGAGGTGCCATTGCCAGCAATGGAGCTGTTGTAGGTTTTGCATCATGTAGACAAAACTGTAGAGCATGATTCACTAGGACATAATTATGCACATAGGCCACCATAATCCTACTTGGCATTCAACAGAATGTACTTAACCCAACCTGGTCAAATTGTCCTTAAACAATAACTTATCATTTAATCTACCATAAACGATTAATGTCTGGCAAGAAAACATAATTCTTATCAATAGAAAGAAAAGAAATTAATCATATAGGAAAAAATTTAAATTAAATTTTATTAGGGCACTATAATTTACAAAGTTGAGTTTCAGGTATACAATGTTCCAATACCAATCCCACCGCCAGTATCAACTTCCCTCCAATAATATCCTTAGGTTCCCTCCCACTCCAGAGCCCTCCTCCTTGACAGGCATATTTTTAAGTTGAATTATATGAATGGATCCCCTGCTTATAGTGTTGTTGGTTATATGTTTAGGTATATACATATATCACACCTGTACACTGATGATATGCCCAACACCACTGACCTCTACCCTGTTACTCGATCTACCTTTTCTTACTCCTACCCTCGATTTCTTTCTTTCCCAGTTCTTCTCATTTCTTTACTATAGTGTTAAAAAGAATCTAAGTATAACCCCCTTTGATACTTGAACTCATTTTTCTAATACAATCTTTTACTGTTATATATATTACATATAAAATATATCTGATATATCATATATTATATTAAGGTAAAGGTAAAGGTAAAGGCCCTCCTGTTGATCGTCGATTTGCTCAAGCGGGCCCAGTAACGTCTCCATTGGAGACTGTGTTGTTACTGTGTTTGGCATATCGAATACTCTCGGTAGCTTGCCGGGCTCTCCGAGAGGGGCGGAGGAATCAAACTCGGGTCGGCCATGTTGGCCGCTTGTAAGGCAAACGCCCTACCCGCTGTGCTATATTATATATAATATTTATATATATTTATATATAAATAAAATAGATTATTTATATATAACCATATATATATATATTTCACTGTATCACTGTCATCCCATTGGTCGTCGAAGTACTCAACTGGGCTCCAATAATATCTCTATTCCTCCCAGTTATGAGATTTTAGCAGCCTTTTCGTACTCGTTTTTTTCCCAAAAATTGGAGGCTTTTTCAGGGTCAGGAGAATGAGACCTATTGTTGTTACTGTATTTGGCATATCAAATACGCCAGGGGGAGCTCACCAGGCTCTGCCCACACAGGCAGGACAGTCTCGGTAGCTTGCCAGGATCTCCGAGAGACATAAATGGGTAGAAGTGTCTTATCAGCCGTGCAGTTCGAAAAGTGGCCTGGAGCTTGACAGTGGTTGGGCAGTGGAGGTTGGTTTCCGGGGCCGGGTCCCTTGGGGTGGGGAGGACTCTCACCCGTCCACAGCCTGGTACGGAGTCTGGCGCATAGTTCTGGGAGCCTTCTTTTATATTCCCGTCTGGGAGGAGCATCCGTGAGTTCTGGAGGGTGGCTAATGTGGAGATTATCTGGTGCCAGCAGGGTGTGATTTATTTATATATAAATATATATATATAAATCTGATTTATTTATATATAAATATATATTTATATCACAGGTATGTATATATCACAGATAAGTGAGATCATTCATTGTTTGTCCTTTTTCTGACTTCACTTACTGTGATCCTCTCCAGTTCCAAGTTCCTGTCAGTTGCATGATTTCATCATTCCTTGCACCTGCATAGAATTTTATAGTGTTTACATACCACATCTTCATTATTCATCATCTGTTAATAGATATCTGTCATGTATTTTTATTTGTACTGGTTTTTAAGAACTATCTATTAAAGTTTATAATACATTTATTATAAATAAAAATTTTCCTGTAGGACATCTTTTTTTTCAGTTTTTATCTAGGCAACATTATTTGCAAAATTGTTAATACTGTTCAGACATATGATGTTCAAATTCTGAATACACCACTAATTGTCAGAGTCCTTCCACAAATTTCACAAAGTTCTGACTCACCCATACCTCCTTAAAAATTAATTTTATTTAATTACTAGACTTTTCCCCAAATTATTGTAACATTGTAGATTCTAATAGTTTTAATGTACATAGCTACCTCTAAACCGAACATGATTGTCACTCAATGCCTCTTTTGCAAATCATAGCACCCAAAAGGAGAGAGAGAACAATGGGGAATGCCCTGCCAAAGAGGCAGGGTGGGATAAGGGGGACGGAGGGTGGGAGGGATACTGGGATCAGTGGTGGTGGAGAATGGGCATTGGTGGAGGGATGGGTAATCGATGATTGTATAACTGAAACCCAAGCACAAAAATTTGTAAATCTACAACTGTACCTCATGGTGTTTCACTAATAAAAATCTAAATAAAAAAATGGCTAACGCCCTCAGCCTAACCCTTATATTACCTTCATCAATGCTCCATCATTCACATCATTCACCCCTCTGTCTTTCCCCAATACTTGGGATTCTCAGTTCTGTAATCCAGACCCAGAAAGTTGCCATCATTATACATTATTTTCTCTTGTCTTGTTACACTTTATAACACATATAAGTGAAAACACCCAGTATTTGTCTTCCCTCTGATTTGGTTTACTGAACATGATAACCCCAGTCTTATCCAACTTGCAGTGAATTTAATTATTTCATCTTTTATTATGGCTGCATAGCATAATGTTTTGTAAACATACCACAGCTTCTTCGCTTGTTATTAGGCATTAGC